CAACTCTCTTAACTTCCTCACCATTTAGAAGTTCCGTGACTACACAGTCTTTTCCCTCTTTTTTGTTTGTAGTTGTCCTCACTTGCCAATTGATGTCTCTGGTTCCCTGGTTACAATCCTGTAAGCTCATTTTACTTTGGATATGTTACACCACAAGCTCCTTCTCAAGTGCATCGTCAATGAGATTTTCTCTTACATAATCTTGTAGAATGTATATAGCATTTCATTTAACGTTTCAGTCAGTGATCCATTCTTAATTCCTTTTTGTAAAAGGTGTAACACCTGTGTCTAGATTCATTATGTGCATGTGAATGTCCAGTGTTCCAACACCATTTGTTGAAAAGACTATCCTTTCTGCAGTGAATTCACCTACTCCTTTGTCTAAGAACATTTTACTATATTCGTGTGGGTCTATTTCTCAGCTATCTATTCTATCCTATTGACCTACTTGGCTGAGACTATATTTTATTGATTATAATGAATATCTCATATTTGGAGGCTGGGAGCCTCTTCATATGTCTCCTGGATCCTCCTGCAACCTCCTGAGTCCCTAGAGGAATACAATGATTTTCTGCCCCCTAGGAGCTCTGGTGGCATAATGCCTAACCAGAAGGCTGATGGTTCAAACCCAGCAGCCATTCCTTGGTAGGAAGACTGAGCAATCTACTATGTAGTGATATCGCCTTAGAAATCCAAGGAAGGGTCGCTATGAGTCGGATCCAACTCAGTGGCAGTGGGCTGCATTTGTTTGTTGTAGGGTGATGACATTCTAGGCTCATCCTGGAACTTGTCTGCTTCAGGTCTGGAACCAACAACTTACCTTGAGTGTCTGAAGTCCATGTAGTGAAAGGTAGTGTTTGGAGACCACTATCAGGGTATTAACTCCCATCTCTCCTTTGACCAAGACATTACCATACACACCCCAACATTAGACCATATTATAACCTGTATGATGACAAGGAATATTTTCAGGTCTCCCTGTAGGAACAAGGGTGACATTTCCTACTGGCAACATGTCCAGGTCATCCTCAGAGGACAAATGTAAGAGATGGGGCTTAGATACCCAGAGTCAGCAGATATTGTTGGATGCTTCCACTGGCCCTTGCATCCCAAAATAACCTGTGCGTCCCTGGAGGGATTGAGGTACTCCTGCAGACACCTTCTGCCCTCACTTCATGTCTCAGCAAGGGTTAGAGTTGTGTCAACCTGATATAGAGAAATACTACACTCCATTCCATGGAATTTCCTTCTTTAGTATGATAAACACCCACTAAGAACTCATTCTGATTCCCAGGCCACAGTCAATGGAAAAAATAAGACATTGACTTTCCAATACCTGTGCCGTCTCTGCTGGGTGGGCGGGCGGGTGTGTGGCCTCACTGCTGAGCAGATGCCAGCCTAGGTTGGGGCCGGGCTTCCCCATCACAGCTACAGCTGGGCCTGGGGGTTGTTGGGTGGGGCATCACAGACACAGTTTTTGTATGAGTCTGTGTCACTGTGTCTAGTGTTCGACGAAGGGACCCACCTGACTGTCCTAGGTAAGTCTCTTCTTTGCCACTCTACCCCCTGCTTTCCTGAGGTTTGGGCAATTTTCTGCTGCTTTTCTGATATGATTTCTGCCTGGAGTCAGAATCTCTGTCAGGAGCCAGGAACAGGAAACTCCAGGCTCTTGCCCCCATTTCTTGCCTGGAACTGATCACCATCAGCTTTCACCACAGATCCCCAGGGGTTAGGAGTGGACATCAAGACGCTGGGCTTTGTCTTTCTCTCTCAGGGACTTGTGTCCTAAGATTTGCTCTGTCTTGTTCTCTCCAATCTAGGATTCTCTTGTTCCCCTTTGTGAAGTCTACTCAGAGTGCCGAGGGAACAAGAATCCCTTGAGAGAGTGACTGCCAGGGGGACTCTAAAGGGACACAGCAAGCTCTTGGCTGAGACTGGGAACCACTGTCATAGGTTCAGGTTCAGATTCCACAGGATGGTGTGGCTCGGAGTCCAGGGACCAAGGGCATGATGGAAGCTGGAAGGTCCTACCTCTATCATGGGGCTGCCCTGCATGGTGTCCTAAGTTACCTGGGACTTAGGAAGCCAGACAGGAGGGAGGAAAAAGGGGGAGGGTCAGGATCTTAGGAATGGGCAAGGGTCATCAGGGACAGGGTGTGAAGGAGAAGGTTGACCCTGTGCCCCTGCAGAAGACACTTACCAGAACATATGAACTCTTGAAGGCACAGAAAACCAATCCCATTGAATATGACCAAGCAGTCAGAAGAAACACCCCAAACTGACTCTCCAGAATAAGGTAGACCCCAGGCAGATAGATTTTCTGAGGTCAGGAAACCCCTTCCCTTCAAGAAAGGTAGATTTAGGTGAAAATAAACCCTTAAGGCACAAGGCCCAGAACCCCTGGAGAAATCCTGTCAGGCCAGAATTGTCCCTGGAAAGGACCCCATAGGAGAGTCAAAGAGCTCACATCGCCCGCCCAGGAAGAAACAGACTCCAGACAGAGCTCTTCAGGACATCAGGAGGAAGCAGAGCAGAGGATAGGGTTAGACTTCTGCAGTGGTGCTAAGAGGAGATGAGTTTCAGGAAGGTGATGGGACATTATCCAGCCTCACGGCCCCTGGGAGAGATAGAAGTTGTTTAAGCAAAACCCCAGACCCACATCCACTTTTATGTGCACACTTAAGCTCATAATGAACAGAGCTCTTGGAAGCTGTTCTACACTTGGGTCTGGGTAGCCCATATCCCACTCACACATTGAGTTCAAGGTCCCTCCATCATGGGTGGTGACTCATTGACCTCCTGCCGATCACCTATCCCTGTAAGTCAGCCCAAGGCTTTGTGCTTGGTCACTCTGTTCCCACCATCCTCTGAGGAGCTCCAAGCCAACAAAGCCACACTGGTGAGTCTCATGAATGACTTCTACCTGGGGGCCGTGATGGTGACCTGAAAGGCAGACAGCACAACCATTGCCCAGGGCATGGACACCACCAAGCCCTCCAAACAGAGCAACAAGTACACAGCCAGCAGCTACCTGACCCTGACACCCAACGCGTGGAAGTCTCGTGACAGCTACAGCTGCCAGATCACACACAAGGAAAAGAAGGTGGACCCAACAGAGTGCACATAGAATCTGACCTCCCCCCAACCCAGGAGGGCCCAGAGCGGCTGGATTCTGGGTAGGGCTTCTCCCATTCACACACCCCTTTCCCAGCTCTCCACTGTTTCTCTGAACTCCTGCCTGCACAAGCTCAGACTTGAGTGTCCCCCTCACCCTCTCTATGTCCACTTCTCCTCAGTAAAGATCTTAAGTTTATCATGTGACACGTCCAATGTCCATCTGTGTCTGATTGCATCTCTGGGAAGAGGCCCCACAGTAGGAGCAGAGGCAATTCTTGTGTGGACCCTAGTGTTCCCATTGTCCCTCTTCAACACCTAGGAAAGTGGGGTGAGCCACATGTGCTGAGAGAACTGTGATCACAGCACAGATTTTTGCCCCACAAATGCCACCCTGAGATGTAGTCCATGTCCACCTTGGAAGCACAGGGGTTCAGGGAGGGGAGACTGGAGGGAAAACCCTAAATATCACATCAATGAGAAAGGAAGAAGGTCCCAGCGTCTCTGAGTGCACTGGGGAGAGGCCAAGGGAAGAAGGAAGTCCATGATCTGGGATCATGCACTATGAACAAGGTCCAATATCCTGTTTTTATCAAGGATCCCAGATCTGAGAGCATTTACTCAGTGATTTGCAGCACCAAGAGCATAGGCAATGTTTGGAAAATCCCACACACTCATGCATTTCTTACATTTTCACAATGTATACTAGATAAATAAAGTCATTGACAAGTCCTGAAGTAGAGAAACAGTTTAAGATAATGTTACTCATTGTCCCAAAATTGTCCCCTCTCCCTGATCTAAGAGAGCCCCACTTATGCTCTTCTGGACAAAAGATTTGCAAGGACAATGTTTGGTGGAACATAGGGTGAAACTGAGGAACTCTGGTGGTGTAGTGCCTAAGGCATTTGACTGCTAACCAGAAGGTTGGTGGTTCAAACCAACCAGCAGCTCCATGGAAGAAAGATGGGGCAATCTACTTCCACAAAGATTTACTGTCTCGGAAACCCAGTGGGGTCCCTATGATTTGCAACAGATTTAATGGCAGTGAGTTTGCTTTTTGGAGTTTGAGGGTTAGATTGAGGCATACACGTGTGCTCTACTTATGGCTAATTAGGGCATGGGGACGGGTCACCTCCTTAGTAGGCTGGTATCTCCTTCATGAAGAGTCTAGATATGTAACTTTAAGGGCAGGTTTATTAGATGTAGTTTGGTGATGGATGGTCACACAGATTGTGGACGGGATATGTGAAATTGGGGTAAGTGAGAAAGGTCACGGACCCAGGCACATCATGGGCCTCTGATGGTTGTCCTTGGGACAGGGCATCACAGTAAAGCTCAGGAGTGGAGTCAGGGTCAGGGCAGACCAGGCCAAGTCCAGGGGAGTGTAGAGTGAGGGCTCTACCAAGGGCAGGCTTCCGTGGTAATACCATCCCCACCATCAATACCACTGCACTTATATTGAGTTTTTAAATTAAATTTATTTTTAGAGCAATTTCAGATTTCCAGAAAAATGGCACAGGAAAAACAGAGGGTTCCCATAAGTCCCCTCTGATTCTAGCCTGCATTATGGTACATTCGATATTTTTGATGAGCACAGATTGATGCATTATGACTAACTAAAGTCCACAGCTTATGGGATGGTTCACTCTTTGTGTTGTGCCTTTCTGTGGATTTTGAAGAATGCACAATGTCAGGTGTCCACCATTACAGTGTCACACAGAATGGCTTCACTGACTTAAACATGCAGTGGACACTACCTCTTCACCCCTCAGTCCTCTTCCTGAGCCTCTGGCCACCACCTATCTTTTTACTGTCTCTTTAATTTTGCATTTTCCAGAAGGTCATATACTTGGAGTTACACTCTGTCGATTTTCAGAATGGTTTCTTTCAGTTAGCTACATGCATTTGAGGTTCCTTCGTGTCTTTTCATGGCTCGGTAGCTCAGAAACGTTCATTGCTGGGTATTACTTCATTGCACAGTGGTATCACAACTTGTTTACCATTCACTTATGGAAAGACATCTTAGTTTCCTCCATTTTGTAGCAATCACTGAGAAAGCTGGAATAAGCACTGGTGTGCAGGCTTCTGTGCAAACGTAGGTTTTCACTTTTGGCAAAGACCTGGGCTCATGACACTTGGTTGTGCAGTAAGCCTGTGTTCACCTTTCTAAGATAGGGCCAGACTGTCTTTCCAAGTGGCTGTCCCATTTTCCATCCCCACCAATATTGAGCAAGAGTTCCTGTTGTTCCACATCCTCTCCACTGTTTACTGTTGTCTGAATAGGTAGTTAAGCCATTTAATGGATGTGTGGTGGTGTCTCAAGGAGTCCTGGTTGCATAGTGATTAAAGCACTTGGCTGTTAGCCAAAACATTGGCAGTGCAAACCCCCCTGTCACTCCATGGGAGAAATATATGGTAATCTGGTTCTGTAAAGATTTAAAGCTTTTGAAACTATATGAAGCAGTTGTTCCCTTCCTACAGGATCACCATAACTTAGAATGGACTCCATGCACCAGGTGTGGTTTAGTTTGGTTACAGATAGCTCATGGTCCTTTGATTTTGCAATTCCATAAAGACATACAATGTGGGCCATCTTTACATATGCTTAAGTATCTGTCTATCTTCTTTGGAAAGCTATCTGTTCATATCTTTTGACCACCTTTTAGTAGGGTTATTTGTTCACTTACTCCAAGCTTTAAGAGTTTTTAAATATCCTAGATAGAACTCCTGTATTGCATATGTGTTTTGTAAATATTTTCTCACAGTCTGTGGCTAGTTTTTTCGTTCTTAATACTATCTTTTATACAGTAAAATATTTTTATTTAAATGAACTACAACTCATTGATGTTTTCTTTTATGGATCACACTTGTAGTGCTACATCACAACTCTTTATCAAATACACCATTCCTTAGATTCTCTCCTGAGGCATCTTCTAGAGAAGAAGGCCTGGTGGCACAGTAGTTAAGTACTTGCTTATTAACTGACAGGTGAGGAGTTGGAACTCACCACCCACTCCACAGGAAAAAGATGTGGTGGTCTGCTGACATAAAGATTTACAGCCTTGGAAACCCTAGGAGGCAGTTCTACTCTGTCCTATGAGGTCAAGATGAGTTGGAATCCACTCTATGGCAGTGGAGGAGTTGATGATGGGGAACTTTAAGAAATTGTCAGGTACTTCATTTAATATTTATGTTGGTCATCCCTTTACTGTTCATTTGTGCGAAAGGTGCTAACTCTGTTTAGATTAACTTTTTGTGTACTTGGATTTCAATTGTTCCAGACTGTTTGTTGAAAAGACTATCCTTTCTCCACTGAAACACTTGCTCCTTGGTCAAACAGCAGTTCACTATTTTTCTGTGAGACTATTTCAGGCCTACCGATTAGGTCCCATTGATTGACTTAGTTGAGGTTCTATTTCATTGACAATGAGAATGTCCCATATTTGAAGACTGAGGTGCTCTTCATGAATCTCCTGGGTCTTCCTGAGACCTCTGAGACCCCAGAGAACCTTGATAGACTCTACTTTTCAGTATAACAATAGGTTCCAGACTCGCTTTCTGCCTTCCCATGTTCAAGTCTGATACTGACCTTTTTCCCTCTGTACACTGATTCTATGTGGTGGGAGATGGTGTTAAGAAGCACCAATCAATATGTGAGTTTACCTTTCAACTTTTACCAAAATATTACGAGACCCAACCAACATTGAGACCATACTGTACCTTGTACAGGGACAGGAGATCTTTTCTATATCTCCCTGGAGGAAGGAGGCTGGCATTTTCTACTGGGAACATCAACCAGTCCCCTACCTGGGGCATATGCAGAGCAATGGGGCTGAAAACCCCTGGTCACAATTGGGGTTGTTGGGTACTTCCCATGGTCATTGCACTCTAAGAAAACCTGCACATCTCTGGGAAGACTGGAATGAACCTCAGAAACCCTCTGTCCTCAATCATGCTTATCAAGGTGTAGAGCTGGGTCATCTCAATATACACAGACATCCTGTTCCATTCTGTGGACCTTCATTCCTTCTTGTGATAAGCTTCCCCAAGATCTCTCTCCTGTTCCTGGGTAATTGTCAATGGGAAATAACTACCTCCAAGGACTCACTGCTTTCCAGAGATGTGCTATGAACATGGGGTCATCTGTCCCACCACTGCTGGGTGGCGAGTTGGGCATGTAGCCTCACTGCTGAACAGATGCCAGCCTGGGACTGGGGCTCAGGCTTCCCCATCACAGCTGCAGGTGGGTGGGCTGGGAGAAGGAGGCTGGGTGGGGCTGAAGCATCACACAGAGGGTTTTTATACGAGCCTGTGCCACAGTGTTGGGTGTGTGTTGGGTGTTTGGCAGAGCGACCCAGCTGACCATCCGAGGTGAGTCTCCTTCCCTCTTCCTCTGCTTGCTCAATATTTGCAGCAATTTTCTGCTGTTTTGGCAATTTTCTCTATGTTGTCTCTGCCTGTGGTCAGAGATTCAGAAGCTGATCTAATTAAGCCCTCGCCCCTTCCTCTCCCTTTTGGATCCTGCTTTATGTCTCCAGCTGTTCACAATCAGCCCTCCACCTCTTACCCCACAGGCAGAGAGTGAAGGAGATGGCCATGCACCTTACCCTTCTCTCTTGTGGTCACTTGCTCCTAAGATTTCTTCTGTCATGTCCCCTCTAGGGGGGTTTTCTTCAAACTCTAATAATCTGACAGGATCTTTTGGGTTCAGGATCTCAAAGAGAGGCAAAAAGTGACCCCTTGGGAGATTATAGAGAACCTGTAATTCTCAGAGTGGAGGCTGTGGATCACTGGTCACAGGCTCAGTGCTGGGTTCCCCTGGACTATGCGACTTGAGCTCTAGAGCCCATGAATGTGACGGGCGGTAGAGATGGTTCCCACAGCCATCATGGGGCTGCCCTGCACAGATCTCTGAGCCACCTGGGAAGGACATAGAACAGAGGAAAAATCTCTAACCCAAAACACTGGGGTAGGATGACTCAGGATAAGGTGTGAGAGGGATGGTGAACACTGAGGGTCTTCAGGAGACCACTCTTTGAAAACATGAGTACCTAAAGGCACAGAGAGCAATACCATGTGATGAAATCAGAGATATGGACAAGTAGTAAGATAGCACCATCACAACTGGCTCTGCGGAATAAGGGGGACCCCAGGAAGTCAGACTTCCTCTGATCAGAAACACATTCCCTGAGAAGAGAGCCTTCAGAAGAGATTGACTTGAGGAAAACATGGCCCAAGCCACCCAAGAAGCTGCATTAGGTTAGAAATGCCCAGAGTATATCCCACAAGATAGTCAGACTGCTCACATCAACCTCTCAGAGATAGACAGACCTTGAGGCAGACCTCTTCAGGATATTAGGGGGAGACAGGGTAAGGATTAGAGTCAGACTTCTGTGTAGGGACTTAAGGTGGATATGTCTCAGGAAGTTGTTAGGACAGAACTCAGCCTCAGGGTCCCGTGGAGAGATGGGAGTTGTCTGAGTTTGAGTTGTCTGAGGAACATCCCAGGCTCATCTACACCGTGATAGGCTCTCTGGGTCATCATGGACCAAGCTCTTGGACCCTGCTCTGGGACTTGGTAGGATGGAGAACAATGGAGCCCATGCTCCACTCCAGGCTTCCCCACTATGAGCTCCTGGGCCCTGACCTCCTGCCAATAACCCACCCCTGCAGGTCAGCCCAAGGCCTCACCCTCAGTCACTCTCTTCCCACCATCCTCTGAGGAGCTCCAAGCCAACAAGGCCACACTGGTGTGTCTCATGAATGACTTCTACCCGGGCGCCGTGATGGTCACCTGGAAGGCCGACGGCACAACCGTCACCCAGGGCGTGGAGACCATCAGGCCCTCCAAACAGAGCAACAAGTACGCAGCCAGCAGCTACCTGACCCTGACTCCAGACTCGTGGAAGTCTCACAACAGCTACAGATGTCAAATCACGCATGAGGGGAGCACCGTGGAGAAGAAGGTGTCTCCAGCAGAGTGTTCTTAGGGCCTTGAGCTTCCCTACCCAGGAAGGCTTGCAAGGGCTGAACTCTGAGTAAGGGTTCTCTCATCCACACATCCCTTCCCCAATGCCCCACTATGTCCCTAAACCCCACCCCAGGTCAGATAGGCCTGGCTAGACAGCACACCCTCTCATGTCCATTTCTTCTCAATAAAGATCTGACATTTATCATCCGAGGTGTCCAGCGACCATTTGTGTCTGGCTTATCCCTGTGCAGGGTCCCCACTCCAGGAGCAGAGATCATTCATGTGCAGAATCACCATCTCCTGACGTCCTCCCCCAACAACACACAGGAGACTCGGGTTGTGAGGGAATCGTGACCACAGTGGGTGTTGTCTCCTCAAATACTGCCTTGGGACACAGGCCCTGTCCACTCAGAAAGGAGAGGGACCAAAGGAGGGAATACAGCCAGGGGAGAACCCTGAATATCACATTAGAGAGAAATGAGGAGACCCCCAGATGCCCAAGAGGGAGCTTCAGTGAAACCAGGGGAGGAAGGAGCCCTTTAACTGGGACCAGGGTTGGAACAAAAGGCGAGGCTCCATTTCCAAGTTCTGGATGAGGGAACCAGGGGTGCAGCAGGGAAGAAGGCAGTGTTGTGTCTCCACCATGAAGCCACAGGAAGGTTGAGGAAACGTCACACACACCTGCATTTCTCAAACATCTAGAAGCATATTAGCCAAATAGAGTGACTTAAAGTTCTGCAGTGGGGAAATAACTTCATACCGAGTCCTCCAGCGTTTCCAAGATCATGTTGACCATCTTGCCCATCTTTAGTAGTTTGGGAATATTCTGAAGCACTGGTGTTCCGTGGACTGTGTTGGGGAGCAGGGGTGAGGCTGAGGCACACAAGGGGCCTCTGAATAGGACCAATCTGACCTGAGATCTGATCTGGCTCCTGGTTAATGCTGGCGTGAGGCTGCCATCTGGGTCATGAAGAGCCTGGGCATCTAACTCAGATTAGACAAAAGGCGGGAGAAGGTTAATGGATGGAGCTTGGGGATAGCCACAAAGCATAAGGGCAAGACAAGGATGAAATTGGAATCAGTGAAAAAGTGCACTTTCCCAGACACACAATGGGACCCTGAAGATGTCACATAAGGATACTGTCAAGTAAACTCAAGATCAGGGTCAGGGCCAGTCAGAGGGGATTCAGGCCTTGGAACTGCAGCTTTGGGGCTACAGGCAAGATCAGGGTCCACAGTGACACAGCCCCCCAGACACCACTGTGGTTACACAATATTTCCTCCTCTGATAAACTTTATTATTTAAACCATTTTTAGGTTTACAGAAAAATCAAAGACTTCCCATATATCCCCTCTAACAACTAGCTCACATTACTGTAGCACATTCATTGCTATTGATGGGCATACATTATGGGTAATTGAGGTCCACACTACATTAGTGTTTGTTCTTTGTGTTCACAGTTCTCTGGGTTTTGAAAAATAATGTCATTGTTCACCACTGAAGTGTCCTTCAGGATAGTTTCACTGCCATAAAAATGTCCCATGCTCCATTATTCACTAACCCCTCTCCTTGCTACCTGACAAACACTCATCTTTTTTTACTCTCTATACTTTTCCCTTTCCAAAATTCTTGGATTCATAATGTTCAGCTTTTTCTCAGTGGCTTCTTTGTCTTAGCAAAATATATTTCAGTTCCTCCATGTCTTTCCATAGGAGCTCCAAAAGCACAAACAGTTTAGTGCTCATATCATAACAAAAGGTTGGCAATTCAAGCTCATCCAGCAAACCAATGAAAGAAAGACCCGGAAGGTCTTCTGCATAAACAGTCTAGCCTACAAAACCCTACGGGGCATTTCTACTCTCTCACTTGGGGTCACTATGCATTGAAATCAACTGGCTGGCACCCAATTTTAACCCCTTTAATTTGTGTGTAGCAGTATTACAAGGAGCTCTGGTGGTGTAGTGCCTAAGGCATTTGACTGATAACCAGAATGTTGGGGGTTCAAATCCATCACTCCATGGAAGGAAAACTGGGCAATATGCTTCCGAAAAGATTTACACCCTCGGAAACCCAAAGGGGGCCACTATGAGTCAGAATCGACTACATGGCAGTGAGTTTGAAGTTTTGGAGTATTTCAAGAGGTCTTGGTGACACAGTTGTTAAAGCATTCTGCTCTTAACCAAAAGATAGCAGTTTCAAGCCATCAGTCACTCTGTGGGACAAACATGTTGCAGTTCCCTTCCATAATAAACATTACAGTCAAGAAAAGCCTATGGACAGTTCTACTGAGTTAAGTGTTGTTGCTATGAGTAGAATCGACTGAATGGCACCTAATAACAGCAATGACATATGATGTGAGCATCTTCTCATATGTGTATGTCATGTGTACGTTTTCGTTGGTGAGCTGTCTGTTCAGATCTTTTTCACATTATGTAATTGGATTGTTTTAGGTGTCATTGAGTTTTAAGACTTCTTCGTATACTTGGATAGAAGTCTTTCATCAGATATGTGTTTTGCAGAGATTTTCCCTTACTCTGGGGTTGAGTTTTCATTCCATGAACTGTAATTTTCCAAGAGCAGAGATTTTCATCCATTTTTTCCTTATGGGTCATGTTTTTGCTGTTGTATCTGAAACTCGTTGCCACACACACCACCACCTAGATGTTCTCCTAGGTTATCTTACAGAAGTTGTATAGCATTCCATTGAACATGTAGGTTGGTGGTTCATTATGGTTCACTTTGGTGGAAGTTGGAAGGTCTATGTCCACATTCATTTTTTTGTATGGGAATATCCAGTTGCTCCAGCACCATTTGTTGCAAGAATTGTCCTCGCTCCATCAATTTCCCCTATTCTTTTGTCACTAGTCAGTTGA